GGTGAAAATTTCATGTCATTAGCACCTCTAGTAATATATTTACTGAGAAAAATGGTGACGTGTTCAATACTTATTTTACCCGCTGTACCAGCTGCCTGCAAACTGGAGATGAGAAGCTTGTAACAAACGGGTGGACTGTAGAGTTGATGCTAYACCTTCATGACTCTGACTCTCTCTGCTTTATCCCTTCATTAAATGGTCAACTCTTTCTTAGCTAGTGCATCCTTTTAAACCTGTACCTGATACTGCTTTACACTGACATTGAAATGCAAGAATGTTTGGACTGTTAACTAATCTGTTCTTTAAAAGGAAAAATTGTGTCTAAAAGGAAGGTTAATGATCTTGATATAAGACCAATCTTAAAGAAAATAATTATTTTTTAATTGGGCTGATGATGAAAAACATTTTGAAGCAGATGTGTATGATGAGAAATGTAAAAAAAGATTTCAGATTAGCTGCCAGTCAGCAGTCAAACTATATGTGAATGTGCATTTGGGGACATACTAAAAARCTAATTTAATAGGAGCAATATTTGGTGGGGGATGTAAATAAATAAATTAAAAACTGCAGGGAAATCTAGTTTTCTTAATAGTTGTTTTGCTTATATTATTGGACATGCTATCTGTTTTTTAAAAATCTTTTACTTACTTTCTTACTAACTTTCTAACGATAGTATGATTTCTTCAAATAATTTACTGAGGAGGGGCCAATCTCAGTTTTTCTCCAAATTTGGTGGGGTTTAGACCCCTCTGACCCCCCTGAGATTTCTGCCTTTGGGTGCGCACCACAGAGACAGACATCAGCACCCTCTTCRAAACAATTCAGGTTCTCGTCCCCAGTGGTTATTTGTCAAAATCTAAGTATTTCACCCAGACATCATGCAAAGAGAGACAGCGTACACACGATAAGTTTCTAGTTGTCTGCCAACTCCATCTTTATGGTTTTGATATGGATAGCGAGCGATAACCACATAGATAGTGGAGTGTTTTTATTGTGCAGAAAGGCAGAAAGTTGTTTTGGCTTGTGGTTTTAGGTACAGTGGGAGCTAAAATATGGAGGCAGAATTTTGTTTCTCTCGTCTTCTTTTTCTTCTGCTTTCCTGTTAATATTTGCAGAACTCTGTGTGAGCACCTGGTTCTTTCATCACGCTGCAGAGTGTGGGTTTCTTCACATACTTCATTAGTTTACATATCCTCATCCTGAGGGAGGAACATGAGACAAGATCACAGAATCGACATGTTAAACACACTTCAGTCTGTTTCAGTTCATCAAATCATGATGTGCTAACATGCGACAAAGACCTTACGTGGCTTCGAGGACCAAAAACAGGATGGTTGATGGGTTTTTTTGTAGCTCCGCCTCCTATTAAAAAAGGAGAATAGGTGACTAACTCCAAATAAAGCTGCTGTAGCTCATTTCCTAACACCAGCAGGCAGCAGTATTAGATTAAAGAATTAGCATTTAGGTTGATTTATATGGAAGAGTATTAGGGCCTTAGAGCAAAAAAAAATCATGAGTTCTGATGATAAAAGCAGAATTTTGACTTTTATCTCAGAATTCTGAGGGGAAAAGAGGTTTAAGATTAAAGTCAGAATTCAGGGATTAAAGTTTGAATTCTGAGAGAAAAAATCAGAACTCWGTGCTCTGTGGGCCTAGTCCTCTTCTGTAGATTTAGCAAATCACAATCTGGTTAATACGCTCTGAAAAACTTTTTTAACACATTTTTCAACATTCCTCATCTACAACTCATACTCAGCTTTGTGTTGTACAACACATTTAATTAATACTTTGACATGAACTGTTATTGTTAACAGTTTGTCAGCAAAATATCTCATGAATAACTGGAAAGATTTTAGTGATCGTTTGAGGAAGTAGTGAATGGACWCACGTCTACAAGTCATTCACAGTTGGAGTCAACCCAKYTCAAGATGGCCGACCCAGCTACTCAAAGGTGGCYGTAACGTAGTCAGATTAACAGATATTGGGCTCAGATTTTGTTTATCAGTAGCTGAGAGTAACTCCTAACATCCACTCTGAGCACTAACAGAAATATGCATTTCTTCAAAGCATATTAGGTCTCTTCTGTATGAGAGGGAGGACATGTGTGAGTCAGGTTTCCAACATGCCTTCAAAGAACAACATGAAGACCCAAGTCAGTYAGGTTTAGTCTGGGATTAGTTCTAATGGTTGAGTTTAAGACAAGTGGCATGGCGCTCGAGGACAGGAGGACCAAATGGACATGTTTGTGTTATTCAGGTGGTCTTCATTAATCCCAGGTGGGTGTGCTGACTGGTATGCAGCTAAGCCTTCAGCATGCAGTTGGAATAATAATGGTCAGTGTGTCGCTATGTGTGTGTGTGTGTGTGTGTGTGTGTGTGTGTGTGTGTGTGTGTGTGTGTGTGTGTGTGTGTGTGTGTGTGCGCGCGCGCGCGCATGGTTTTTCTACATAGTGGGAACCATTTTCCAGAAAAAAAAAAGCACACTTGTGGGGACCAATGTCCGGTCGGTCTCCATGAGGCTGCTTTTTTTCTGGAAAATGGTTCAAGTATGGATGCTAATTACGGGTGGGGGTTTTGGTTTAGGACCAAGGTCTGACTTGACTTTAGGTTAGTTTTAGGGTCAGGTAGGTACCTGTGAGGTTAATTTTAGGGTAAATGATCAGGGTTAGGGTGTAAAATTACAAGAATTATGAATGGAAGTCAATCCACGGTCCCCACGAGGATATAAAAACATACCTGTGTGTGTGTGTGTGTGTGTGTGTGTGTGTGTGTGTGTGTG